GCATAGGAATTTGTTCATAGTTTTTTTAAACTACAGTGCAGCCCTCCAACAGTCTGACAGACAGTGAACTGGCCCCTTGTTTAAAAAGTTTGAGGACCCTGCTCTAAGCAGCCCTTATTGAGAGCACTTTTGCATATCTATCACACACAGACCTCAGGAAGCTATGATGAGTATGAAAAGAGTACAGCTGCCAAAACCAGTGGCCTTATTCATTATCCACCAGAGGGCAAATTATTTACATGTCTAAAAATGCATTTGTGATATACTTTCCAAGCATTATCATCAATTTCTTCAAATACAACAGAGTTTCATTTAAATGGTTCTCAAGGTTTAAAAACCATTGCCTATATAAAACAGCAGAGATAGCTTCATTCTCAAAACTGAGCATTATTAAAATGTCGAAATAAATATCCTTCAACAATACAGCAAAGAGATACAGTTGGCACAGGCAACATAGCTGGGTACCTCTGAAAATCAAACCCAGAAGTTCAAAAGCTGCTTTGGACGAAACAAGAGTTTGGTGGTGCCAATCGGTCCTAGTGGAGATTGTTTTCTTTCTTAGATTTGTCTACAGTACATCACAGAAAGTTATTAAGTGTCTGCTTTCACTAGGCATGACTGTTTTTCATAAGTGCTTAAATTCACTAAACAAGGAAAAAACAGGCACTATATAAACAGAGTCATTAATAATATAAATCTCACCTAGAGTAAAAGAATAATATGGCCTGTCTTGTTGTTCTGCATAAATAGTGATTTCCATGGCTTTCCATTTGTCCTTTCTATGGATTTTTCTCCTTTGGTGCATCTCATCTTTCATTTTCCTCTCAGTGCTTCCTCACAGGGCTTAATGCCACCAACTTTAAGAAAATCAGCTAATACTACCTCCATTTGTCACCTGGCCTACCTAGCCACCACTACCCACTCCTGAAACCACCACCACAGGACTTTTTATCCCTGCCAGCAAGACCTGAACTCTTAATCTCTTAGTCTTTGCAAATAAGTCATTAAATGTGCCTTCTAACTTCAGTGTATGGCATAGGGTCATTAATACACATGTTGTCCCACAGGTTTTTTATTCTGTGCTGTGAAATTGCCTCATTGGAATCTAACTGTGTTTTCTTTCAAGAGCATCTCCTGGCAGTTTTCCATCGCCTTTGTTTTAAACTGAGGAATGGGGTGTGGTTCTAGAAGTCAAGAGCAATTTTAGTATCATTTCAGGAAAAATTTCCCTCACCTCCTCACACTCCTCCATACTCCCCACATCACAAAGAAAAATCTTTCCGAATTTCTCTTTGATCTTCAAAACCCTATTAAAAGTAAATGGGCAGTCTATGAAATTGAAGAATTATAACTGCAAAGCTTGTGAGGGACAGAAAATCATTGGAAGTTGGGGTAGGGGCTCAGACAATGTCAAGAAAAGAGAAATGAGTAAATCAGGCGGAACCATGGTGAGACACAAACACCCCCAAGTTTCTCCACTGCATTTAGAAGAGAGTCAAAATCTTTTTCATTAAAATCCTTTGCAAGTTTACACTCTGGTTTTTTTAACCATCAAAACCACTGCAAAACTGCAGGCAGGTTGGCCTCCTTAGTGGACACCTGATCCTCCCTCACCTGTCACCTATATAGAGAAAACCATCTCTTCTGGTTCTCCCCCCAGCCCCTATGCCGAATCCCAGTTTCCAACATCAGACCCAGAACTCACTCACACACACTGGGAAGATTCATCTAAATCCTCTTCTCCCATGTATATAAGTAAAAGAATGATACTGAATCCAGGTTTTCTGTTATTTTTGTGTACTAGATTGTGAGTTCCTTGAAGCAAGTACTACTCCTTTTTTCCCCAGCCCTGCCTCATGGTACCTAGAATCCTTTAGCCATTTAAAGAATATCTGTGAGTTTGAATGGGCTTTTGCTGAAAAGCAGGTAAATTCCAGGAGAAAACAAAAAAGGGGGAGAAACAGAAAGAGAGAGAGAAATGAGATTAATAACCTAATGATCTCTACCAGGTGGGAAGTGTTTTTAGCTGTTGGAACAAAGGCAATCCAAGGCCAAGTGTATTGGAATCATGCTAAGGAATGTAAGTTCCTAAAGAAAACTTACTCATCCTACAAATTCGTTGGCCCTAGTAAAATAGGCTTCAAGGCACAAGTCTCAGTTTTTTCGTGCAAGTGTGAAAGTAGAAACAGAGAATAATGGCTCCCCAAAGATGTCCATGCCCTACTCCCCAGATCCTGTGAACACTGCAACATCCTCTGCAGATGTTGGTTAAGGCTTTAGATCTTGAAACGGGAAGAGGATCGGTGTTACCCAGGTTGGCCCAATCTAATCACACGAGCCCTGAGAAGCAAAGGATCTTTCCCAGCCTTAGTCCTCGAGAGAGAAATGTGACAACAGAAGAAAGGCAGAGAGATGTAGCCCTGATGGCTTTAAAGACTGGGGAAGAGAGCCACGAGCCAAGGAATGCAGGCACCTCCTGAAGGAGGAAGCAGCAACGCAACAGATGCTCTCCCAGAGCCTCCAGAAAGAAACTCAGCCCCGCCAACCCAGAAAGACTCCTTATTCTGACTGAAACTCTTCCTCTATTCCTCCCTTTCCCTCTTCTCCACTTGGCTAACTTTTTCTCGTCTTTTGAGATTCAGCACAATCTTTCTTTTCTGAAAAAAAATCTTAGCTTTATCTATACAGAGTATACAATTCCAAAAAGTGAGGAGGACTATGTCATATTCTTCATGAATGTAATTTGAATGATGGGATTAATTCATAATTTGATGCAGTGTAAAAATAAAGGACAATAGAATTGCTTTCTTCTCACTGCTTTTGAAAAAGGAAAGATTGAGAGCACTCACTAGGATCCACCTACATTCACATCCATAAGCTCTGACCTATTCCTTCTCCTCCTCTGAGTACACATGTGCACAGGCATACACACACACACACACACACACACACACGTGCATACATCAGCTCCACACAGAACCTGGCTGTTGAATCCCAGTTTGTGGCTGTTCTGAGTCAGACAAGCAAGCAGCATATCTTGCTCCCTGGTCAAGAGTATAAGCTGCGGAGAGTCAAAGACTAAAATGCAAAAATTTCAAAGGAAATTCAAAAGGCACAGAAAAGTTTCCAAAATAAGGAATTTAAAACCAGAGCCAAGGTTAAGAACTAAATAACAGGGTCCATGGTGTGATGGTTTTAAAATATGTCTACAAAAACTTTGACATTTTTTCTTCCAAAAGATGGAAGCTAATTCATCTGCCCTTGAGTGTGGCCTGAAGTAAGTCTCCTCCAACGAATAGACTATGACCAACGTGGACAGCATTGGATCAAGTCACAAAAGACATTACAACTCCCTCCTTGCTGTCGCCGTCTCCCTCTGTCCCTCCTATCGCTTGCTGTGGAGGAGGCCAGTAGCCGTGTCATAAAGACACTCAAACAGCCCACGGAGAGGCCCACGTGGTAAGGAATGGAAGCCTCCAGACAACAGCCACGTGAGCTGTCCTGGAAACAGACCCCCGAACCCTCGGACAACCACAGGCCTGGCCAACACCTCCACTGCAACCTCGTGAGAGTTCCTGCGCTAGAACCACTCAGTAATTTCCACATACAAACTATGAGATAATAAATATGTGTTGTTTTAAGCCACTGCGTGTTGAGATAATTTGCTATATCCTGAAACATAGCTAATGCCCATGAGATCCAGATTCAGTCTACAAATATATTTTCCTCAGCTCATAATGGTAGGATGTTTTTAATGAGCCAAAATGTTAAAATCATTAAATTTCATTTAAAAATATAAATTGCCAGTCTCTCCCAAAAATTGGGGCGATCTGGCAAGACAAAGCCCTGCATCCCATCTGGCAACACTTAGCAGCGGCTGGGAACCAGCATTCTGCCGCAAGAGAGGCACGTTCTCCCCGTCCCCCACGGTGCCCTGTGCGTCCCCATACTGACGCTAAGGGTCACTGCCATTTCGATGGTTTGCCATTTACCTTTCAGTACAGAAATGGTTCTCAGCTCCCATATCTCTATCAAAAATAAGTAGGAAACAAAAGGTACACTGAAAGAGCTATGTCTTTTAAGAAATCTAAGGAAAGCTTACTTCTTGGTGGGAGTGAAGAATATTCCTGCATATTTACTATGTCATTGATGTGTTTCTGTGCCACCCACATACAACTTGAGATCCCATTTTTCTTTCCCTGGTGGTTTTGCCCATTAGGCTGACTGGTCTCTGTAGGTAGGTGAGTTTGCTAAACTTGCTTTCTTTTCCTTGGCTCTTCAAAATGGGGCTAAGGTAAGGCATGTGAGCATGCTAGATCTGGCTCTTGTGCATCTTAAAGGTGGCAGCCGGCATTACACCTTTCCTCTCACTTTGCTTGTTTTGAGAAGAACCTCAGTTTTGAGAAGATAACACAGCATCTATTAAATTGGAGGGGGGTGCACTTAGAATAATTGTTGAGCCTGAATTTCTTACTGCTGACTGAAATTATATCTGATCACAACCATACAGATGAATCAAAGACATAATTCCAGGTACAACCCCTACTTCATCATAAATGTATACCTTTTACTATTACTAATATTTCTATGGGAGTCAGCAAACTACAGCACAAATCTGGCCCACCACCATCTTTTGTAAATAAAGTTTTATTAGAACACAACCACACTCATTCATTTACATATTGTCTGAGGTTGCTTTTGTACCACAGTGGCTGAGCTGAGTAATTATGACAGAGACCTTATGACCCACAAACCTAAGGTATTTACTATCTAGCCCTTTATATCTAGGTAACCCCTGAACAAGAAGGATAAAATACAATATTTTGGTGGTCAAGAAGCCAAGAACTCACTGTGCTTCAAAAGAACACAACATGAAAAGGGATAAAATCACCATGCTCTCTCTATAACATTTGTCTATAATTCATAGTCAGTAACTCTGAAGCATCTTACCTTACAAATGGACATAAACAGAACAGGTTTTAAGTTGAAAATGAACTCACTGTGGCTAATTTCTGAACATCTTCATCTGATGCTCCCAGGGACGCCAGACCTATTTCTTGTGAAAATTGAGCAAACTTAGGATCCGCAAGTAGTGGAACATGTCCCAAGAGTTCATGACATGTGTCTCTGACAAAAAAAAATAATCATCATCATAAAGACATGTTATACAAGAAGCTTTAAACTATAATTGGTAGAATAAGACTTAAAATCCTAAATATAACCTTTTTACTGTAATTGGTTACTATATTTTATCAATTCTAAGACTTTTTAATCATACTTTAACATCTCTGAAATCCAGATGCATCTTACAAGCAATAGCATCATATCATTAGATGATATACAATATTTTAATAAAATAATAGCAACTACTATTTTTAAGTGCTTACTTATTTTATACCAAGCCCATGGTATTTTATTATATATATTATGTCTTTTAATCCTCAAAATAATCTTAGAAAATGAAAGCAACTTATTATTACAAGATCTTATAGATCAGAGGTGGGAAAACTACAGCCATGATCCAAATCTGGCCCACTGCCTGTTTTTGTAAATAAAGTTTTATCAGAACACAGCCATGCCCATTCATTTATGTATTGTCTACAGCTGCTTTTGACTATAACTGCTGAGTTAAGTAGTTGTGACTGAGATCATATGGCCCACAAAGCCTAAAATAATTACTAGCTGCCCTTTTACAAACAAAGTTTGCTGATTCTTGCCATAGATAGTAATGAAGCCAAAATTGGAATTCAGATGGCCATGATTTTTAAACTCTCACCCTTAACCCTTAAGTTGCACTCAACCCTGTTACACTTTGCCAGGCACTGGGAAACAGCAGAGGATCATATTATCATCATCAAAGTGGCTTTTCCCATAGATAATTTGTCTGCTGTAACTCAAGCAGCTCCTTTGAGACAGCACATTGGAATAATCTCCCAGTTCTCTGCTTTGGTTAGACTGAACTAGTTAATAATAGAAGCTTCGGGCCGCTCTCATTTGCTTGAGCTTCCACTTGGAGCCAAATAAGTGGGCAAAAGACAGGTATGTGTCACAACAAAACAAGGCAGATGCCTTCCTGAGTCACTGCCATGAATAATGAACTATTCCATGAAACCAAGCTGTAATGGAGTGAATTCCCCTATGACTCCCTGGGAATGGATCGAGATATAGCAACATTTTATTTTCTTGGCAAAAAACTAATTGGCCAGGTAGTAATTAGAAGATATTTTTTATTTCATCTGTACTTCTCTGAAGTGCATCCCTTCAAATAGATGCTATAATCTACATGCCAGGTGCTACTGCCATTATTATAAGTATAAAGTAAGTCGGACGGTCTTATGGTTGAAGCACACGAATGATGGCCAAGGGCACAAGGTCAATGCCCAGATAACAGATGGCATCACTTAATCACAAAACTTGTTCCTGCAACTCAAACCACATCCCAACCTTGGCCAGTCACTTCATAGATACATCAGGTTGAAAGGGCAGCCAAGTAAGAATACGTGAACAGGATACTAAAATAAACTCCAAATTCATCCCTTATCAACTGTTTGCCAATAGCTTCCTTTTTTGCACATAAACTGAATTTGTTAAAAAAATATATATATGGTGTGGTTATTCTTTAATCACATTGCTTAATGCAAAGAATCAAATTCACTAGATTTTACAGCATAAGGGGTATTTAAATGTTATTCTACCCCCTCATTTTAAAAAAGAAGAAATGAAAAAGAAAGGAGAAAGAGAGAGGAAGGGAAGGAAAGAGGGAGGGGGGAAGAAGGATGGAGGAAGAGAGAGAGAGAGAGAGAAAGAAGGAGAAAGAGAGAAACAAAAGGAAGGAAGGAAGAGAAAGAAAATATACTGAGCTCCTACTATGTACTAGATACTGTACTAAATGTTTTCATATCACATTAGTAGTTTGATCTTCCTCTACAAGGAAGATTTATTATTCAAATTTAACAAATGAGGAAACCAAAAATCAATAAATTTAAGAATCTTTTCCAAGATCATGCTTTTCATAAGAGACAAAGGAAAGATTTGCCTCCAATGCTATGTTCATTCTGCTCTCTAATTTGCAGGTATGGTGCAAGTAAGAAAAGGGAGGGAGTGTGCATAGCTTGGGGTATAAGACTTTACCCTAGTTGGTTCGGCACAAGTCAAAATGTAGTTATTATATCCTAAGTCTCTTTTCCTGCCACTCAGTGGTTCTCAACCTTACAAATCACTTGAGAAGCCTTTATAAAAATATCGAATGGCTAGGCCCTACCTATGACAAATTCAATCAGGCTGTCTGAAATGAATCTGAGCATCTTTTTTTTTAAAAGCTCTCCAGGTACTAAGAAGACACAGCCCAGGTTGAGACCCACTGTCATAACTGATGATGCTAGGAACTCTCCTAGCAGGCTTCATGAAACTAGTACTTAAAATTAAAAGTGAATGTGATTGTATAATTTTTTTTTTGTAACAACTTGGATGGAAAGATTGTATAATTTTGAGCCACAATAGTTTAATTCCACTAAAATTTCATCATGATACTGAAGAATAACGAAAGGCACTCACCAAAAAGTAAATAGGTAACTGATTACTCCTCCACTTGCATTTGATTCAGTTACTGGTCCAATACCTCTATACAGGGATGAACCCTACAGATGCACTCTTGTGATCAATTTTTTAAAAGATCACGTAGCCTGCACCAATGTTAGAATTAAGATCATGTGGCCCACCATGGAAAAATCTGAATACCCCCATTGTAGCCATAATTCCAAATTAGACCATATATCAAACTCGAGAAAGTACTGAAGACAGTAAGCATTCATTCATAGCATGAATAAACAAAGCGAGCAGAAAATAAAATAACAATTATCATAAATGCTTACTATGAGCCAGGCACTGTGCTAAATGATTCATAATGTAAGAAGCAAATAGAGTAAGTTGTGTCTACAGCAGTGTTAAATTCTTGGTGCAATACTAGATTTACTTTTGAGCTTGCTAAACGCTTGAAGAAGGCTGATGCAGAAGTCAGTCTTCTATCCACCTAGTTACTAACGGAGTCTGAAAGCTTATTGATAAAAGGTAAAATGAAAAGTTGGCAGTTAAAAAGGAAAATACTAGAGATCCAAAGACATTAAGGAGTCAATTCTCCATGGTAGAAAAGGAGCCACTGGCTGAATTTCAAATCAGGATGTAATTATCAGAAACCTGTAACTGACTAGCCAACTTAAGAACCTTTAATAGCATTACAATGACAAAGTAATCTATACATAGAAGAAGACAAAATTATAAATCTGGAAGAAAAAAATCATACAATACAGAAAAATAAGTTACATTGTTTCATTTTAAATGAAAGCCTGAAGCAAGATGTCTAACAGAATTATTAATGGAACCTTAGGGATGCCCTTTGCTCTGTTACAAGTAGAAATGATCACATTGTATTTCTCTAGTTTCTCCCCTTCCCTTCTCTCAGCTCCCTCTTCATGCAGAGACCCTGAAAAAGAATTCTCGAGATTCCTAAACAAAGTGTGGATGCGGTATATGCAGTAACCTTACTTCTTCTCATGGGACCAAGGCTTTAAGCACCTATATTTCAAGGCCAGGAACAAGGTTATTATCTTTTATCTTTTATCTTTAGTGGAACATCTCAGAAATAAACACTCTATTGTTCTCTAGCCCACTCTCTTTGGCTAAGGCACATATAGACAAGGAAAACTAAAGTGCCTGGAAACTCTTCTACCAAAGAGAAAAGAAAGATATTTAATGTTACTAATAAAAGCAATTAATTAACTTTTCTTTAGTTCCTCTGAGACCAAAGCACTTAGAATCTGAATTGACCACCACTCTTTGGGGCTAGGAGAGGTTCCAGGCTTTGAGGAGCCTGAGGGAGAAAGCAGACCACAAAGACTTGCCTCCAATCTCTGAACCAATTAAGGTCTGTTGGGCTGGAATTACACTATTAAGCCCTATTTTACAAAGTGCAAATGCCACTGCTGCTATGTTTTGCATGTAGAGTAGTTTGAGATCCCTACATCAGTTGTATCATTACAGCTGGACCCGTAAGTATATAATTACGAAAAGGTTTTCAATGTGAGTCCACAACGATTGCTTTATCTCGCCAGATCTCTCCTAAAAGATTCAATTATTTGGCCATAATTGCACCTGTCAGCACATGCTCCTTCCAATCGCTACATCGGCAAACTTTTCTCTTTTTAACTCCCATCCCTTTGATGCACTTTCGCCTGAATAATGCCTTTCAGAGCCCTTTTCACAAAAGCGCTCTGTTCACTGTAAATGTAAGACCTTTCAAAACTGTTAACACTATAAAACATCATGTCTCCTTTAAAAAAAAAAAAAAAGCAAGAGCTGATATCAGGCACTAAACTTTTGCTGCTCTAAATTGGAATCTTCTCTGATAAGCCCTGTTAGGGGGCTTCTAGAGCCTGGGCAAAACGTCTCCAGGGAATTCTTAAATCATTCTAAGAAAGTAGCGATCATTTTGCTGCGGGGAAATAAGGGTCCTGGTTGTTAAGTTCAAATTCAAAATGAGTCTGGCATTTTTCTCCTCTTATCGGTTTTCAAAGCTGACTCCCCTCGCTACATGTTGAACAACTCCTTTTTATTTTTGCTGTAAATTAAAGCCTGTAAGAGGCATTGAGTGAGCATCCAATGTTTGCTTCCCATCCCAAAACAGCGCATCTGTCTTTTAAAACATATTTCTATAGGTTTTGTTTGTTCTAAATGACACAGAAGCCAACACTTCAGCTACATCATGAAGAGAAGGCAAGGAAGATGAGTGGGAGGGGTGGAGATGTTGCATTAATAAAAAGAAACAGGAGGATGAGCTGGGAGCCAAATTAGGGTATGTTTTTCAGCTTTCACACAACATTTGGTGGGTAAATGCAAGTAATCTGGGATAACACACCGGGATGCGTTGCAGGCGGGTGACTTAGTTTGTTTTCACTGCATAAGATGATAAGGGGAATTAATTTGGTACTGTGGCAACTTTTTCTCAGGGCTTCCTTTGGAGCCATATACAGAGTCTCTTTAGTTTAGATTTAAAATAGCATACTGTAAAATCTGACCCACATAAGATTTAAGGCAGCTCTTATGATCGCTTCCGCTTCTATCCCTATCACAGT